AGGTCTAACATTAACGATGATTTCAATCATAATAAATTAGTCGTGGATTATTTATTTCGATGAACCAGTAACAACAACAACCTTTGCCATATGTATACGAGAATACCTGTTTTTTCGACTCAATTCCCCACAAATGTCGAGATTGTATACATTTATTATATTTTATTCAAACCATTTATCATAACAATTATAATACATGTGTAGAGAGTGTGTACTGAATAAAAGGTATTTTGCATATGAATAGCGAGACTCCTAATGAAAAACAAAAACTCATTTCGGTGTTGAATGAACATAGATATGAAAATATGGGATCAGTAGTGAAAATATGTGCTTAAAAGTCCAGGTAAGGGAGCGTGATGTTTGCAATACAATGGGACAGGTATATTATTCTCATACCACCTATAGATAGCAGACAGACCACTGGCAGACCTTATTTTTTCGTTGCAAACAACAACTATGAGCGCAAAAAATCGAGACTTTTTTGAACCTAAATTTACTTTTTATTCCCCTTTTTTAGTTCAATTTAATCATAATTTTTCATTCACTTGACTGTAAAGTCTAGAGAGTTTGTTGGCATCAATTCATACATTAAATTAATGTAAGCCCTCCTTCTCTCCTAATATAAACACTCTTTATAGCTCTCTCTCTCTCTCTCTCTCTCTCTCTCTCTCCACAGATGAGCGAAATTCATTGACTTGTATTTGAAGGTTACATAAGAAAAAGTCGAGCGAAATATGGTTTCTATTAAACACAACACATGTGGCTATAAATAATAGCAATACATTTTTATAGTAATATATATTTGTAATTAAAAAATTCTCACTCAACCCCAAAAGATTTTTTTATATATAATTTATATGGTATTAACTTTTTTGCTCATATTTTAAAAATTTTCTATTTAATTATATACCTAATAAGTATTACCTATGAATTATAGACAAACATGTAATAGCTATTGCTATTCATGCGTATAGGATATTGCAGAATATTCTGTATTAATTTTAATTAATTATGAGAGCTTATGCTGTAATGAATTGGCATATAATATACTAGCAATTTCCGTATTGTAGGAATCGATTACAAAGCCTTTATGGCAAACAACACAAATTGAATTTTATTATAATCTCATAATCATTATACAACAAGAATTGATATTACTTAATAATCTATAATACTATCAAATAGAAAATTATATTTAACGCCGGATTAACTCGTTATAAACACACAATTATAAACTTTGCAACACACAAAAAGCATCTCTATAGATAAGGCTAATAAAACAAAAGTGTTGCCACTTTTACACTCCTATAGTGTACCCCAGAGAGTACAGTAAAACCATAGTCTGAGTGCTAATATTGAGTTCAATAGTTCAATGTCCTTATGAAGCGTAAAAATATTGTTCTTTATATAAAACACTCATAAATATAATGCATATTCCGGCAAATGCTATGGAATTAGTGCCTTTCCCTTCGCAAACACATAGGGGAACTCCATACAGAATATACCGCACCATAGCGTACTGTATGCATACGATTATACCCCCCATCGCATACCTGTGCCGCGAAACTACAGCCAATTTCTACGACCAATTTATTGCCAATTGTTTTTCAGTTCATAGAAAACACATTTTGTTTGAATCATTTGTAAATGTCTTATACGTGTGTATTGTTATGCAATACTGTTTTCCAGATCTTATTTGAGTGCAAAGTAAAACTACTTTTATTTTTTTCGTTTGTATTATATTTTTTTTTTATGTAGTTATGAATATTTATACATAACTCCAAACGTCTGTTGTCTCCCCTTTTAACTGCTATTAAGCCCTCAATTGTGGTGTAAATTAATACATAACTCAATACACCATTTCATTTTGTGGCCCCAATTGCATACCAGACCCATATATTTAATAGAAACATAAAATTTTTATTTAATATTTTAGTATTAAATACATTATTGAAATGATTTCTATTTTTATTTTCGAGATATAAGCGAAACAAAACTTTTTATTTGTGGCTTTAGTACAGTATTTTTGTGGCTAAAACACAATACAATTAATTAAATGAGAAATATTTAATAATAATAATAAGTTTGTATTCAAAAAGTTTATATAATATAAAACATTTGATCATTATTTTGAAATACTTTTGTAATCATAAAAATTAATACAAAAACCACTTTAATTTGTAATGAATATTGAGACCTTATACAAAAAACAATTCATTATATTAAATGAATTTATGAGTGTAATGGGATTTTGAGTTAAATTAATTTAAATAACCATTTTAGTGTCAATTAAAAACAGTTTGATTTATTTTATAGCATAATTCATTTGAATATAGATTTTCATTGTATAGTTGCATACAAATGCTTAACAAAAATTAATTGCGGAAAAAAGTTTTAATTATTACCACTATATTAATGAATTGCATTTACTTTTTTAAAAGGTAATTAAAATTTTATATCCATTAGTCTATCACATGAGTCAATGCATTCATCGATTGTATTCATTCATTGATTTATTAAATAAATTTGATTTTCAATTAAAAACTTTTTCAAAATCAAATTCAAGTCTATGGACTATTATATAACATACATTTGATTTTCAAATATAGTAATAGTCTTTTTTATTATGGCTTTTAAAATATATAAAAATAAAATTTTTGTATTAATTTATTTATGATTTATGAGCGTTTGTCATACATGTTTATAAAAAATATCTTATAAATTATAATAAGTCTAAATTTTTATCGACTTGTATAAATGAATTTAATTTTTCATCTACACCTACAGTGTTATTTAAACATTATATTGAAACTTGTGATCAAATATCACAAAAATATCAAGTTTTTAAAATTAAAAAACACCAAAATCTAATTAAAAACCTCTCATAACATTTTGATAGTAAAAAATTTAACACCAAAAGCTTTTTTGTTTTAATAATTTTTAATACAATTAGAAACAAAACTATTTTTTATATATACATTCAGGGCTACGAAAACTAGTGAAACAAATCTCGCACTTCAAAGTCATCTCAAAAAATCTATTTATTATAAGATATGATCGCAAAAAAAGTTACAAATTTACACAAAAAATAGTTTATTTCTTAAAAACTAGTTTTTATACAAAAATTATTACTGACGATAGGGAAGGCATCAGAAAACATATTCCGACTTTTCTTTAGATTAAAAATTATAGTCATTTCTACAACAGAAGAAGATTTTCTATAATAAAAAACTTCTCAAAATATAAAGTCTATTAAAAACTTCAAACTATTTATGGGGTCTTTAAAGTAGGGTTTTGTATGCGAATTGCTTTGTTATCGCATATTAAACACATATTTTCAACTGTTTTAAAACTTTATGAAAAGTGTTTTATAACAAAAATATATAACTTATTCTATTATACAATATATTTCATTGTTTTACACATACTATACACAAATAAAAGCCATTGTATTGTCTGTATATATATTTGGGGGCAATTTATCTGGAAATCGACCGAAAAACTACTACTTATTATAAATGCAAAACACAAACTATAAAAAAATATATTTCATATAAGTTAAGCAATATTTAGTACCCATTCTTATAATGTAGACTAAAAAACGAGTTTTTCATTTATATTCACTTTATGGTTGTTAACAGTTTATCGCATAATGTTTTAGTGTAAAAATAAAATTTTTGTTTAAACAATATATTAATATATTTTGTTATTTTATTTTAAACCCCGTTATATAACAAAAATATTTAAAAAAAGTTTTCTTATTTTAAAATAATTACTCTCTCTCTCTCTCTCTCTCTCTCTCTCTCTCTCCGAGTCTGAGGTAACAAAAGAATTGAATTTCGAAATAAAAATAAAAGTTTTAAAAAACTTTTTCAACAAAAAACTAATTCAAATCTCCATAAGAGATAAGACTTATTATAACAAAAGTTATAATAAAAATAATTTCAATTAAAAATCCAATTGAAAATACAAATTAAAACTTTTTAAACACGACTCCCGATGACGTTATTAATGTGCTTCGCATACAATATGTAAATACAATTAATTTCATTAAAAATCATTCGGTAATCGGAAAACAATTTTCACCCCTTTTTAGCTTTTTTAGTCCCCCTATAATACAAATAGAAAATAGCACTGATACAAATACACAAACACTGTTACTCATAAAACAGTGTGGGTGTAGTTGTATAGCATCGGGTATTGTATTATAAATTATAACTAGTTATTGAGTTTAGGGGACAATCAGGGGGCAGTAAAACTAAAACATACTTAAGCTATGAATGACATGCCTATACTCAACACATGCAGTGAAATACTTGACATGAATACATGAATTGAATGAACACAAAAAATAGCTTGCACCCATTGACAGTAACAAAAACAGCCAGGTATAGCTCAACCACACGTATGACAAGCCACATGTGAGCCGGGTCACGCTGTCAGCTGACAATGCAGTGCCCGGTGTGTGTGTCACATAAACCCCGGGAATAATTAATTCATAAAAACAATCAATTTTTATGAATGAAACATATTTCACACGCAAAGCGCACGTTATGTATGGCTGCATATGTGTGTGAATATAGGGTTCGCTTATATGCGGGGAGTCCTTGTTTTACAACTCCCTCCCCACCTTAAACTCTAAGTATGCTAAAAGTAGCAGGGTAACAATTTAAAATTGATTTTGTAAAATTCTTATACTAATGGCGCGCATTGGTTTGCTGATCATTAAAAATTACACCTAAACTTTATTAATCAAAATGCCAACTTAAAATTAATTTTGATAAAACTAAATCTATTAACTTAAAAAATTTATCATAATTTAAAAGCACCGTAATCATGTCCAATCTAAATATAAAAACTATCAAGGCATCATATTAAAACACCACGCTCGCTAATTAAACACCACAAAACAATAAAATAAAAACCACATCCAGCACACCCTCCCCCACATACATGTGCCCAACACCGCGCTTAACAGCGAACTCGCATTCACGCCATACATGTCTGTCAGTGCCCACAGTGTGTGTGTGTTGTGAATGCCTTGACGTATGCTATGCCTATGACTACGTAAGTAATCGCCATTATATGCACACAACCATTGAATACAATCATTGAATACAACCATTGAATGGCATTTTGTTTGTGTGTTTGCTATCCGTTCACACATTTCACGCCACAAACACAAACACCACTGACTTCTTAGGGAGACATCACCTCCAGTGAGGGCCACAGAGACAATGAGCGCCTCATCGACCACCACAACGACCACCATATCGGTGACCACGACCACCACCATCACGAACACGTCGGACGAGTGCCAGTGCTCGGCGTGTCAGCGGCTGGAGCCGGGAGCGGACGGCGCCCACCATCACCACCACAGCCACCACCACCCGGACCATCACCTCAAGGGATCGGCTGCGGGAGCCGTGGCCGGGGCGCTGACACCCGCCCAGCACGAGGACCTCCGGTCGTGTTGGCACGAACTCAAGGCAGCCGTACTCCGGATATACCGCGAGTCGGGTCTCGTACTCAACCAGACGTTTGTCACCCAAAACAGGCTCGAGTTGACCGCCAGCAGCACCACCACCACCGCCACGAGTGGACACAAGTGTCCGCTCCCTTCCAATGATAAACTCAAAGATATTGTTCATAAGTAAGTGTTTGACTGCCTGTCCGACACACACTGCCCGCCCACTCATACATATACACACGTCTCCCCCATAACCTACTGTTTGGATCAGTTGTGGTGATTATATGTATAGTGGTGTCTCGGGACAGACATCTCACGCCGTGAGTTGCCTGTACTGCACCACTCGTACAGTGATATGTCTATCGGTTAGACACTACTATAGTATCGATGAAAAAGTGTGTTATATTTGACGCCAAACTCGCGGATTATATTCAAACAAAACCCTTGGATTTAAACCCATTCATAAACCACACGCTAATCTAGTAATCAATGACTAACTGTCTCTTTATCTCTCTCTCCCCTCCCTCCCTGTCCACCACCACCATCACCCCCGCAGACTCTGTGTGCACGACCGCCACAAGCTGTACCAGTGTCTGGAGGCTCAGGTGCGGCTGTTCGTGGTGGAGATGCGGCTGAACCTGCTGAAGCACCTGGAGCACGGGTCGCAGTCGCTGTTCGAGGCCATGATCGACCAGTACGGCAAACTGTGTCGCGCCTCCAAGAAGAGCGCACAATTCCTACAGGAACTGGAGTCCAAGCATTTGCGCAAATTCAACCTGACCTGGGAGTTCCTCAACCGACGCCTCTTCCAAAGCACCGTCTATTCCGACACATTCATCAAACACGGGTTACCTAAGTATGTGTGCGCCGACCGACACACTGCCTGTCCACTCAGTCCACTCACTAGCTTTCGTGTCTGTCCATTGGGTCAGCCAGTGATCACTCGCTTTGGGTTTCTAGTGGTGTGGAGGAAACTCGGTGGACAGACACCTGACGATTGTATGTACGCGTTGCTAATCAATGTGTTTGTCCGTCCGTAGGCTAACGGCGCTGACAAAAGACCGGTCCCTCATCGACATGTACGCCCGGTTCCTGAAGTTCGAGGACGAGATGACTGTCATATCAGTGGTTTGGCGCGAAGCCCAACAGTTTATAGATAAATACGAAAAGGTTTGGCGAAAAGTTTTTTAGTTTTGCTTGTGTTTTGTTACCCATATTTGTCGTCAAATTGTCTTTTTATTGCTCTTTTCAAAAATAACTCATATTTTTTGTGTGCATTTATTGTATCAATTAGTTCGCGATTTTGAACAAAAAACGAGCCCTTATTAAAGAATGGGAACAATTCAGCGTCGAATGGGTATTAGACGATCACGTGTCGGGAGGCGGCGGCGGGGGTGCAGGAGGAGGAGGAGGCGGTGGGAGCGTCGGCGGCAAAAGCAAGTCCGGCGAGAGTCCGATGTGCATAAAGAAGCCGTCGATCGAGTGTCTGAACGCCCGGTTCCTCGAGGAGCAGAAGCTACTGAAGTCCGGCAAAAACATGCAGTCCGTGAACATCGAGATCGAGACCAACTCCGCCCTCCAGGAGCAGACCCTACTGGCCGCTTATGGCGAGTGGGACGCCATCGACATTAAGACGATCACGACGAACCTGCCGCCGGGCGTGGCCGCCGCCAATCGGCACCTGAAGTCCTCGACGGCCGCCACGCAAGTGGACCTCCTGTTGACGAGCAAAGCTAAGAGCGAGGCGAACGGCGCCAAAGCGTCGGACCATCATCACCACCACCAACAGCAGCCGCAACTGCAGCAGCACTCGCACCACCACCACGCGGACGGCGGCGGCTGTTGCGATGGCGACGACGATGTCGATGACGACTGCGAAGACGAGGAGGACGTGGACGACGAGGAGGAGGATGACGATGAAGACGACGACGACTCGTGTTCCGATCAGAGCTCCACCACATCCACGTCCACGAGTAACGCCCAGCGGGGAGAGGGCGGTCGTGTGT